TTAGCCAAGGTGACCATAAAGTAAATTCGAGTAACTAACGACAGTTCAAAACGTTGGAGGTGGGTGTTAGCAAGAGCAGACAGAAGTGAAAATGCACCGAAAGCTTTCCAGCATGCATGTTCCCGAATTGTGTAATTTTACTCACTGACCGCAGTCAGACAAAACGCTGCTGAATGCAAGTAGAAAAGCTCCCCGAAGAGCCCGATCAATGGAATGATAAGCAAATTGAATAGCAATCGTTTCAAACAACGTCATTCCACACACACTGACCTCAATGTGCAACACTGGGTCACCGCGCCTGGTCCAGCTGGACCATTCGTCCACATCACGAAACAACGGCACATCCAATTGGGTGGTATCGAAAAAATGCAATGCGTTCTCCGTACACATGACGCGCACAGAATAGCCTGCACCTTGTAGTTTGGCGACCAGTTCCAAAGTTTTGATTGCAGCCACACTGCCTGTCACACCCAGCAGGACATTCGTTTTGTGGATAGTCGCACTTTCCATTATTTCTGTACCGTTTGTCAGGAGGGAGTATGGACACAGAGGGAGGGGCGAATTTCGCCTGTGAATTGAAAACACAATGTACAGTGTTGATTAGCATTTTACCTGGTGAGTTAGTATGCAATTCGAAACGAATGGGTCACATAATTTGAGTATAACACAGAACGAATCGTGAACTGATTGCACATTAGATATACCATGAACTCCACAAAACCTGTTCCATCAATTATTTGTAGACTGTATTACTTGGATAAAGTTAGACACGCTAGCAAAGTACTTCAACTAGTTGAAATGTCTCCAGATTGAATTTCTTAATGTGAAACATGCATCACAGTCGACGGGAGGTTTACAGCTTAAATAGTTCAACTAAATCCCCTAGCTAGGGCTTGATCATTACAGTTCAAAGTACTCAAAGTCAACATGTGGACCGCAATTTTGGACAATAAGGTAAACTGCCATGATGGATTTGTATTTTTATTGAATTTCACTATCCAGTGAACCTCACACATTATTTGATGACTGAATTTTCGTAGTTCCGGGTCCCATAACCGATTAACATCTTTGTGAGCATGAAGTTTACCGCTTCGGCCGCTCAGCACACCTAGATGTATAATAAAGAAACATCTATTTTTGGTTAATCAAATCCACAATACTGTAAACTAGAACAAAAACAGTGGCGAATTAATTAGTTAGGAAATGTTGCATCCAAAGAAATTGTCACTGTCTGAACAACGCGTAAACAAATAATGACAATATGGTATAATCGAACGACAGCTAAGAATAATGAAGGATTTCGTAATCAGTGATAACAATTTTATCAGGAGAGCACCACATGTATATGGTGGAATTACACAAGCACGAACTGATATAACATGATCAGATTCACCATAGTCTAAATCGATAGGAACTCATTATGTTCAGTGATTTATCGCTGAAACGATAGTCAACGTTCATTGACTAATTGT